TAGTGGCAGGAAGACACCATTTTAATGCCTTTGTGCAGGGCTGGAGAAACACTGTGTATGGCTTTGGGTGAGGTAAACAGCCATTATTGGCTTCAGTAACTCTTGTTTTTCCCTGGTTTGTTAAATAAATCTCTTTGTTGCTGTTCCCTAAGCCTGAGTAGTCTTGTGGTTGTGCATACAGGTGAAGAACTCAGTGACAGGTAAACTATTTGGGTATGTCCTTGGCCAGTTTAGTGCCCCTTGCTGCCCTGTATCAGAATGTATAATTGAAGATTCAGAAAGATAAAATGGAAACAATCATGGAAATAATTTTTTTAATGCGTTATGCATAAGAAATTTCCAAAAACAATGAAGTACATAAAACATATTATAAAAAGCATACATGTAAAAAAATTACATATAAACACTTTACTGTAAAACTGCAAACAACAAAATTAAGAAAACATTAAAAAACGAATCATAATTTAGCTGTGAATATACTTCAAAAGAAACAATTTTATAATAACATACTAAATTACTGTGAGAAAATTCTCTGAAATTTGAATTGTATGCAATGAAGTTATTTGTTTAGAGTAGACAAATTAAATATATATTCTATATTTGAATAAAAGTTATGAGCTTTACCATCAGTGCAACTTTGCTAGAAGACAATTTAACAAGGATACTTCAAGGAGATGACAAATGACTATCTGAAATGATGTTCCACATTACATACTATCAGGTAAATGCATATTAAAACTATAAAATTACTCATATATGAAAGTCATCTAGATCTGGACCACTGACTGTTATAAAATGCTGGCCAGGTACATAATGGCAGGGAGTCTAAATCATTGCTGGTAAGAAAATGAAATGATACAGCCACTTGGAAGACATTGTGGTATTGCTTACAGTAACATCCGGTTAGCATCTGATCTAGCGTTTGCATTTCTTAGCATTTATGAGAAGAACTGAAACTTATGTCCTCCCCCACCCTCACGTGCACAAGCACACAAGACATTTTACTTCAAGTTTTCATCAGTGTAGCCCCTACAACTTCTGTTATCATTCCAAATTATCCAAATTACATGTTTTAAAAGGAATTTTTTTTTTTTTGGTGATAAAAATCTGTAATATCTACGACAATCTTTCTTACCTGACAAAAGGAGTAAATAATGCTGGATCATTATCAATGTTGCCTTAAGAACAAAAGCATATATTGTAGAACAGTACCAAAATAAGTTCTTTAATAAAAGAATATGGTGGCATATTCACACATATAAATGTGAATTTTCATTCAATCATTACATAATGCTAGATTTTATTAAGCCATTGCACAAAAAGCATTATACGTTTTCCATTACTTCATTCTGAAATTCTTTATAGCCAAATAACAAAGGACAGCTTTCTCATTTCAAAGTTCTGTATTGCTATATGGGAAGAAAAACCATACTATTTGCATTTTTCATCTGTTAAAGAAACAGTTAAATAATCAATGATAATGAAAAAATATGATGACATGATTACATTATTAAGATACATAGGGAACTAGTCTAAATCATTTTTGGAATGTCATATTCTGAATGTTTCTCTACAATTTTAGACTTTGTTGCAAAACCAGAATTTCTGAAAGAGGTGGGACATTTGCTTCTATTTCTCTAATAGAAAAGGTGTAAGTAATTGAGCAGAGCACATAGTATACCTTGGCCTAAGAAAAACTCAGTCTCAATTCTAGAGCTTGGATATGTCCCTTTTCCTTTTGGAACACTCTATAAGTATTGACTTTTGTCACTTCTTGGACTCTATTCCTTTTATCCAAATTATATTAAATCAAGTTTATGATAAAATTTGTAGATAAATGATTTGATCATCACTTTGCATAAAATTGAGAAATGCAGAACAATTAGAGACTACCAGGGAAAATGTGTATTGATTTTCTGTACTTGCTATTCCACAGCAGTAATTGAAATGTTAAAGTACAAAAGAAAAATATTTGGCCCAAGTTTCTTTAAGACACAGAATATAAAAACAGGAATTTTCAGGTACAGGTCAAAATCATATCAGAAAACTGCCCTTTAAAGCCAGGAGTAGGCCCTCCCTGGTGGTGCAGCGGGTTAAAGTGCAGCACTGCAAGCGAGCAGCAGCCTTTTCAGTGGAGTTCCATCTCCAGCCTTGGAGGTGACCCACATGGCGCACCAGACCTCTGCTGTCTCACCCACCACTCCCCTCAGCAGTGTACTTTGCCAGTCGGCCAGTTCTTCTCCCCATGCTGTCTCTGATGAATCCTCTCACCTCCCCTGCACCTCTGGCCTGTACCGCAGTTCTGTATGCATAAATACATCTTAAAAAAAAAAAATAGCCAGTTTTCTTTTTTTTAAATCAGAGACCTAATTTTACAAGTGCCTTCCTGGGAAGTACTGGATTAATATGGGATTCAGAGATATGATAGTAACCACTTAAATAACATTTTAGACAGCATGATTTCCAAACAACTGAATGAGGCAGTGAAAAATCATGATTTCATCATTACATAGTGACTTTGGTAGTTCTTAACCTTATTAGGCACAATATCCCCTTTTTTCCTAACAAATGCTTTTGTGGGATAGCTGTACAATGAAATGCCAGTGTAAACTAGTAAATATCATGAGCATGATTTGAGAAAGAGGAAGCAATGACACACCACCTGGTTTTACCTGAGGATTAACTAACAGCTCCTTCCGGAAAGCATAATGACCATTCTTAGTCTTTCAGATTTTCTTCAAAAGAGACTTTCATACCAACACAGTGAAACTGTACAATTTCAAGAGAACAACAGCATCTGAAAAGCTGACATAAGGAAAGTGATGCTAGCAAAGTGACAACAGAGTGTGCTACCATTTTCCTCACAAACAATGATTTTGAAAGCCACCTATAAATAACAATGCCTTTTGAGAGTTGGAAAATCTGGCATAGAAGTTCAGAACTGCAAAAACAAATATAAGGTGTTGAACCCATTCAAGAGTGTAAGAGGAGCAGCTTCAGTTTACTCAAGCCACCCCACCCCCAAGTTGGTGCAACTCAGTGCCAAGAGGCTACCTTCTTGGTCCATGAGGAATATGAAAGTATAGAGTGAGTGTCTAGCTTCGTGAGCTGTGCAGATGCTACCAAAGAGGTTTTCTTATGTCTCACCTCATCCTAACCATGCTGCATGAGAGGATGAGAATGGTCCAGGAGAAGATAGCCAGGGCATCTAATGACACTCTCTCACCCACTGCTCCCAGCCAATCAGGAAGCCCAGCCATGGCCTCTGGACACCCCTTGTGGATAACTCCAACTGATCCATGGACACTCCCCAAAACTCCGGACACCTCACCTACCATCCCTCACTCTCTGTCTGACAACTTGTGTGTATCCCTGCCCGGCCTGAGATGTTCCGCCAAAGTTTCCGCCAGTTCTGCTACCAGGACCCGGCAGGCCAGCGGTAGGCGTTCTGGCAGCTGCGGGAACTCTCACATCAGTGGCTGCAACCTGACATCCGCACAAAGGCGCAGATCCTGGAGATGCTGAGGCAGGAGCAGCGGCTTGCCATCTTGCCGGAGGCAGCGCAGGCCCGACTCCTTCACCACCGCACGAATGTGCGCAACACCGCTGAGCTGTCGTCTGCTGGGCTGGGTCGGGCTGAGCCAGGCAGGGCGCTCCCTGGACTGGAGCCATGATTGTCTTTGGAGGGGCTGAACCTGGTTCCCCACTCCGCGTTTATTCAAAAGTTGTGATTCTGGCACTGTGTTCTGTCTCTTCCGTTCGTCCTTTACTGGGTTGGTTTTCCCAAGCCTGTTTCCAGCTTACTTTCTGGCTGATAGCGAAATTGGCAATAAAACCTTTCTTGCTATTAAAAAAAAAAGGGTGTCTGCCTGACACCTCGTGTGTACCGCCCAAAATTGTGTGCTTTGGCAGATGAGTAGTAAGAAGCTGTGGAGAGCTGGAAGCTGGCCCAATCTCAAGGTTTAATTTCAGGTCTATTTACTGTCACTTTCTTAAAACCATTCATTTTTTTGGATCTACCATCAAACTCACCCTCAATTTTTGACAGTGTCACCCTCAATTTTTGTTGTTTTATATACTTCTTGTGCACTACAGTGCACACTAACCATATTAGTTTGCAGATGATAGGATGTCATCTATCATCTACAGAATTAAATTAATAAAAGAAAGACTTAAAACGGGGATGTATTTACTTGTTAAGAAGATGGGGACTGGCCCTCCCTGGTGGCGCAGTGGGTTAAAGCACAGCATTAAGAAGCTAAAGCCACTCTGGCATGAGTTCGATTCCTGGCATTGGAGGTGACCCAAATGGCACGGCAGACCTCTCCTGACATGTCCTTTGCTCCTCTCAGCAGTGTACTTTGTTAATCTGCCTGTTCTGCTCCCTACTCTGTCTCTGTTGAAGCCTCTCACTGCCCCTGCCTCTCTGGCCGGTATGTATAAATAAATAAATAAATCTTTAAAAAGAAAAAAAGAAGAAGATGGAGACTAATCATAAAAATCTTTTGAATAAACAGAGGTTTATTCAAGAGGCTTGTTAACCCGTTCCTCATAGACTTTGTTTGGGAAAGGGCCCCAGGTAGCCATAATTAGTACTGTGGGCAAGCAGCACACGCAGGAAAAAATATAATTTTAATCAAAGATGTTCTGTAATAATTGACTTTTTATAACAAAATACTGCTGCAGGTTGTATAATTTCAGAGAATGCTGATGTAAATGAGTTGGAGTTATAAGGACTTTATGAAACAAAAGTGAAACTAAGTGAACTAAGCCAGTGAATTTTAAGGCAATGAGGGAAGGATTCATAATGTTTTATGGTAGTAGAACAGTGGTGACTTGGTGGCGGGTATACTTTGATGGTAATACTTGATGGGGATATCACACTATTACCTCAATTACAAAAATGGAAATAAAATGGCATATAAGAGAAGTGAATTTTGAAAAGTTAAAATATAATTTATAATTGTAAGACTTTATTGGTGAAAATGGCACTACGATAGCATTTAGAAGACCTTATCAATACAGTCTAAAATTGGGAGGAGTTATTTTCAGTTTATTTAAAAAATTTCCAAAAGTCTTCAATAAATTTTAACCTTTTTTTACTGGAAACATAAAATTGCAAATTGTATAACACCTCATGTTATATAAATCACACATTTATTACCAGATTTCAACCAAACTCTTTCATCCTAAATGGTGGGGAGGCTAAAACTAGTACATGATTTAGCAAGAACAGGGGGATTTACTTTTTTTTTTCCATTTAGACCTTTAATTTCAGTAATAAAGTTTTTACCTTTGTAATCACCACAATCAAGTGTCAAACAAACTTGCTTTTAGATCCTTAAGTCCAAATTAAAAGTGTTTAACTGTAACTTTTAAAACTGCTAAATGCAGTTTCAATGACATTTTCTCATTCCTTGTATGTCTACAAAAATGTTTTAAGGACAGAAAATGTTATTTGATATCATTAATCGTTATTTATTCTATATATTTTTTCTATTTATGTGCATTTCACAATGTGCATGATGTGTTTATGCAACTTACAAAGAAATACAAATGTGTATAATATGGAATTACACTCAAACTTGTTATTGTAATGGTAAATGTTGTTATGACTTGGAGCTCATATTTAGAAGGTCAAATTTCACAAAAGTGAGGTGTGATAACATGTTACCTTCCCTATCAGGAAAGATTAACAGTGACCTTTGTAAATATAAAAACATCTGATTGTTCTGGGAGTCATGAGGTCTAACTAATCTGACATGACAGGTTTTCAGAATATTAGAGAGAAACTGAAGGAATATGGGTAAGGGGTGAATAATTATTAGAAAGTAAAAGGACCAGAAATCAACCTTTCTCTATGATTTTGCTGAAAATTTTACATGCAGTAGTCAGGTACATAATTTCTCTCTCTGCTAGTTTGCCAACTAGTAAAACTGGAAAAAGTTAGAATACTTATCTTAAAGTATTGAATGAAGCAAGTTGGAAGTAAAGCCAAGTAAATTATATAGTATAGAGCTTGGGACACAGCAAATTTTCAATATAATAGTAACATGGCTTTTTCTTATGTTCTTACAGATATTTCTCTATATTTCTTTTCATTCCTAACTCTAGTTCTTTAAATTCAATATCTATGTTTTATTTTTTGTTACTCTTAAGGCATATTATTATACATATTTAAATTTTGTTAAGCTTGCTTTTATGATAACTTACTATTGTTTTTTTCTCTCTGAGAATATGAAGTGGATACTTCAGTACTATATATATATTGATTAATTTTTGATGCTATTTTTGATCAGTAATATTGAAATATAACAGTAAGTAGAGTATGATTAACAAAATATTAAAAAGAGAACTATTCTAGGATGATACATTTCTGTGAACTTCTTGTATAATAATGTTATCACTCAAGTTATACTGGTATCATTCCAAGCTTATAACAAAGATAAATTAAAGTTTTTTTAAGAAGATATTATAGTTCTAATTCATCCATCTAAAGACTCTCTGAAATAGCTTCTTTGGCAAGTCAAGTGACAAGAATGTGATTTTTAACAATAAAATAGGTAAAATTATGGATATTAAACTTTGAGAATAGTTAAAAAAAGCACTATGGAAGGTAATTAAAATCATAGATAGCACTAACTTCTGCACAATTTGGAATTCCTAGAAAAGCTTATTATAAACGATTATCATTAAAAAATCAGGAAGCATTACATCCAGAATTTTTTTTCATTACAGTTTTTGAAGACATTTTTCTTTCTAAGTGCCATTTCATAGAGTTGGAGAAAGAGCAGGTATTTCTTAAATCTCTGAATGAAAGTGCAGTGTAGACCCTTTCATTTTCTTCTGATAATCTGCTTCAAATCGCTCATACTGGGCTACAGTGAAATGATTTTTCCAATCTCCAGAAATACCTGAAATCAGTAAGAAGATAAATATGAGACAACTTAAAAATGTCCTTCTACAATCAGTTTTACTTTGAATCAGTACACATTTCTTTTAAAATCTTAATTTACAATGTCTTATCTACTTTATAATTCTAGTCCTCACCTTTCATTACTGTCTCACCTGCAATCCTGGACATTTTTAGTTTACAATTGCCATGATTTTCCATTATTTTATGTTTAAGAAATGACTCCTAAATAGCATTAAGAAATGTAATTAGGAGAAAATCTAGTATCTCAAAATCTTTATTCATTGGTTTCAAGAGCTTTGCTAAAAATGATAAGAATAATTTTTCAGTCAATTTAAAATGTATTTTCTAATTTCAAGTGGTGATTTATGAAAAAAGTTCTATTATATGACTTGTAAATCCTTGGGTACAAGTAATTAAACATATAACTTTATCATAGGATTATCCAAAGTGAAAAATAGCTAACCTATCTAAAAGTAGAAGGGAGGATACAGACATATCATTTTCAGTGAATAACTGATTTTAAAAAACTGTGTCATTTTCCTAAACTATCTCACTAGGTACCCAGAAGACACCTTTGGAAGGCAGTAATTAAGTGAAATAGGGGGGAAAAACATGCTAAATTAACTTTCTAATCTATTGCAGGATGTTCAAATTTTATATTTTATTTGTTCATTTATGTCTCCGCTGTTGGTTTTTGAAGCCAGAAAATCATTTGTCCTGTGCATTGTAGGATATTTAACAGAATCCTGACCTCTGCATATCAGATGTCCCTATGTCCTAGAAATCCCTAATCATGACCATCAGAAGTGTCTCCATATGTAGGCAAACATGCCCTGGGCAGCAGAATCAGCTGGTTGAGATCCACATATTACCGGCAAGGTCCATGGCATATTTCCTAACATTCTAAAAGAAATCTAAAATACACAAACATAATTAAATAATATGTTTCATGGTGACTTTATTGATTCTCACAAAAGATCATTAATTCTAAAACTATCTCAAATAATTAGGAATTATTTACTTTCTTCCTCCCTGCAAAATTTTATATAACTGACCATTATTAAATGTTGCATGATTCTTTTGTCTCATTAATTTTGGGCTTGGATTTTTTTATATGCTTTGTTCAGTGAAATTTGTATGTGTGCAAAATACATACCCATGTAAGTAGAAATTTCAAAAAACATTGAAAGTTTCTACCACCTCTCTAGCATTTTACCTCTATTGTAATGTTGCTAATATTCAGCAAATGGCAGTTTTTTCACTTTTTGTTTCAGAAAGAAGATAGATGTACCAGAGCCTCTGAGAGGCCAACAAAATTGATCAGAATCAAAAACAAGCAAAAACTGTCAAAGTCACCAGTGCTGACATCTTTCACAATCAATTAAAAATTAACTTTGTGCTATTAAGGCACCAAGATTGAGGTCTTGGGTTATTTTATAGCAAAGCAGAACAGTACATATGTGACTAAGAGAATCTCTCTATCTCTCCTATACACCCTCCCTTATTCACTTAAATTCTTTCTCTCACACACAACTCATACACATGAACTTATACAATTCAACACAGCAAAGATTCACTAAAGGAATATTTCATGTAAGATGCTAGCTATAAGTTGAGTTCAATGCTGAGGATGCAATGATTTACTATAGTAATAATAATGATGATAATAACAGGCTCGAGTGGTTGACACTTTCCCCATTAATTCATTATCTCTAAGATCTCTTTAACTACCAACTACAGAAAAATTTCTAATATGAAAAATATATAGGTAATTCAGAGAAAGAAAGGATATTCTTCATATAGTAGTGGTTGCCAAGACTTGTGCTTGTTGTTACATAGATTCTTGTGTAAGCATTTCTCATAATCACACCTTTCTTTCATGTTAAACTTGCAACAATAATGACTTCTTGGCCACAAATAATTTCCTCTAAGGTTTTTTTCCTTAATTTTTCTCTCCAAAAGATGTGTCTCCATTTTCTACAATACCACTCTTATCTACATACACACAATCTCCATTATGTAGCTTGCAAACTGAATAGAAACTATATATGATATTCTTACCCTTTCTCATGAAGGGAGACACAGAATGATCCATATCCCATTCTGGTACAGTGCTATAATTAGTACTAGGATTCTTCTTCATCACATCAAAAGATGTGTGATGAACTATTTTATTCATGGTTTCCTCTGGTAGATCTTTCTCTAGAAACTTTAATAGTTTCTGGATTTCACATTTTGGGTTCTAAAGAAATTATAAAAAGAAAGGATTGCTTTTACTTAACACAGTATTAGAAGCCCTATGGAGAGCAAGTAGGCAAAAAAAAGGAATTAAAGGTTTTTTAATTCCCTTTAAATTTGTTTTTTTTTTTGTTTTTGTAGACAATATGATGTAATATATAGTAAAACCTAAAGGAGACACCAAAAAACTGTTAGAACTAATAAAATTGTTCAGTAAGTTTTCAACACAAAAATACATTTAGAAAAATCCATTGTTTCAATACACTGATAATAACCCATTAAAGAAAGACATTAAGAAAATAATCACATTTGTAATTGTATCAAAAACAATACATTTCTAGGAATACATTTCACCCGGGAGTTTAGAAATCTGTAAATTGAAAATAAGAATTCAATTTCAAATTAATCACAAGATAAACAAATACATGGAAAGATATTCCATGTTCATGATGGAATAATTAACATTTTAAGTCAGCTATAGATTTATTGAAATCACTGTCAAAATTCCACAAAGTAGAAGACACAATCCTAAAATTTATATATAACCACAAAAGATTCTTCAGCCCAAACAAACTTGAAAAAAGAAGGAAAAAATTAGAGATATCTCCCTAATTTCAAAGGATACTATAAAACTTCAGTAATTAAAAAAGTATGGTGGTGGCATTACAACACAGATAAATGGCCCTCCCCAGTGGCGCAGCGGGTTAAAGCACAGCACTGAGAAGCTAAAGCCACTTCCGCATGAGTTTGATCCCCGCCTGCGCTGGAGGTGACCACATGGCAGACCTCTCTTGACCCGCCCGCTGCTCCCCTCTGCAGTGTACTTCGTTGATCTGCCTGTTCTGCTACCCACTCTGTCTCTGGTGAAGCCTCTCGCTGCCCTGAGCCTCTGGTCTGTACCCCAGTTCTGTATACACAAATAAATAAATCTTTTAAAAAAAAAATAGATAAATGAAATAGATCAGAAAGCCCAAAATAAATCCCCACATATGTTGACAATTTAGTTACAATGAAGAAGCCAAAAACCAAAGATATATAATGAAGACAGGGTTCAGTGAATGGTATTCAGAAAACTGAGCAGCTACATGCAAAATTTGAAACCAGTTCACCATCTTGCATCATACCCCTAATCAACTTAATATTGATTAAAGACTAGAACATGACACCTGAAATCACAAAAGTCCTAGAAGAAAACACAATATTGAATTACCTGACATTGGTCTTGGACATTATTTTTGGCTCTTCCTCCAAAAGTAAATGTTTAAAAATAAATAAATAAAATGAACAAGAGGGACCAAAATGAACAAGAGGAAATATAGTAGACAAAAATGCTTCTGCACAGTAAAGAAAAATGTAACAAAATGAAAAGGCAAAAACAAAAAGAAAAATGTAACAAAATGAAAATATTTTCATTGAGAGAAAATATTTGCAAATCATGTACAGAGGAGTTTTAATATCCAACATAAATAAATATAAATATATTTATAAAATATATTTAGCCAAAGAAACTAACAGTCCAATTAAAAAATCAACAATGGAACTGAAGCCAAGGGTTCAGGAAAATGTGTTCAACATCAGTATCACCCAGGAAATTCAATCAAAAACAGCAGTGTAATATTCCCTTATAGTTGTTAAAATGATGATTAACAAGTGACACGGCACAACCACAAGAAGATAACTTTATTTTTCTACATCCATGAAGACTCATTACAGTAGAGAAGAAAGGGAAAGTACATAAATAATTAGAATTGGTGATAGATATTATGAAAAGAATGACAGCAGCAAAAACCTCCTTTAATAGATAATAACAAGGTTATATTATTTGACAATGCAGATATGGAATCTCTCCAGTGATAACATGAACAATAAAATGTTAACCTGAAAATGGTGGGAGAAAATATTCCAAGTATGCTCACTTAATGAGAAGAAACAGATGATACAAGACCAGGTTGGAGGGAAACAGAGACTAAACATAGCTGAACTCTGATTTAAAAAAAGAATAATAATTCCATGCCATTTGCAGCAACATGGATGGATCTGGAAGGGACTATACTAAGTGAAATGAGCCAGAAGGACAAAAGACAAATATTAGGTGGTTTCACTTACATACAGAATACAGAGAAATGGAACAAAGTCAAGAAAAAGACAAAACTTTCAAGCTAACCATAGATCTGGACATAAGGCAGAGGAAGGAGTCGCAGGGGTCAAATAAGAGGAGGAAAGGGCGAGGACTATGGTAATAGGTCACCAGGGCTAGAGTTTTGGGAGGATGATACATGAGAAAAAAATCAAACAATGTCAAAAAAATGTAAGAAACTAAATAAACTGGTAAGTAAATAAATAATAATTAAAATAACTACTGCTGAAATCTATGAATCATCTTAATGATTTTATATTTCACATAACAACTGTCACCAATGAGAGATTTAAAGAAATAGATGTAAATAGATTAATTTAGATTTCAAGATCATCTTCTCTCAGCATATACAAAGAGAAGCAAAATGAATTAGTGCAATAAGTCAAGATGATTGTTTGAGCTAAAAGAAGCAACAGCGGTAGAAAGAAAGGGAGTGAGTGAAAGATCAATTTTAAAGACAAACTAATAGGGTATTAGGCTAGTCATATTTACAGATCAAGAAGAAAAAAAAATATGTGATAGAAAGAAGATAAATCATAGGTTTTCTTGAAATAAAGAAAAATTGTAATTGCTCCTTACCTTTTTCATGTCTTCATAGAATAAGAACAAAATGGGATAATCTTTGCTCTTCTCCCACCAATCCTTCACATGGTCATACCATGACCCATAAGGCACTAAATTAAAATATTGTTTACAAAATGAATCCAATTTACACAAAGTAAATGATTACTAAATATTATTACAAGTTGTTACTATCAATATATACATATCGATTGCTCATTAGTTCAAGAAAGAGGGATCATTGGGTTAAAGAAGTATATCAATAATCCCTGTTCTCACTGAATATACAGCAGATTAAGAAAGAAGAATGAAATAGTTTTCTGTTATGAGATAATTGTGTCCTCCACCAAAAATTTTATACTGAAATCCTAGCCCTTAGTAATTCAGAAACTGATTAACATTTGAATTGGGGCTTTTTTTTTTTTTTAAAGATTTATTTATGCATACAGAACTGGGGTGTGAGCCAGAGGTTCAGGGCCAGTGAGAGGATTCACCAGAGACAGAGTGGGGAGCAGAACAGGCCGAGTATTGAAGTACACTACTGAGGGGAGCAGTGGGCGGGTCAGGAGAGATCTGCCACGCCATGTGGGTCAGGAGAGATCTGCCACGCCATGTGGGTCACCTCCGGGGCTGGGGATCGAGCTCATGCTGAAGTGGCTTTAGCTTCTTAGTGCTGTGCTTTAACCCACTGCGCCACCAGGGAGGGCCCTGAATTGGGACTTTAAAAGAGGTAATTAAGTTAAAATGCAGCCACTTAGGGTGGGCCCTAATCCACTATGTCTTTATGAGAAGAATTACAAAAGAGGCACCACTGAGGAAAGACCATGTAAAAACCCATGTGGAAAATGGTCAGCTGAAAAACAAGGAGAAAGGTGTCAGAGACTTCAGAACTGGACACAATTGAACTCAGATTTCTAGCCCATTTAATATGATTAAATAAAAAATATGTTGGCAAAGCAATTTACTCCATGGAACTGGTTTGACAGCCGTAGCAAACATATATAAATTTTGGGACTAGTAAGTGTGTGTTGCTATTAAACATTTTTGAACTAGATAATGGGTAGAGACAGGAAGCTCCGAGAGATGAATTGTATAGAAAACAACTAGATTGCCTTGAAGAGACTGTTGGTGTATCTATGGATGCTAAAGGTGAAAGCTTTTTTTTCTGGTGATAGCTCAGAAAAAGAAAAGGAGAGCTACAGACAAAAGTTCTATTATCTTTGTTACATATGGTATGGTATGAATAGATATGGTAAGTTTTCAGACAACAATAAAGAACATGTCATGAGTGTAAGGAAGTGAGGATGTGAAGGCCTGTGAAGAAAATAAGGTCTCAGACAGCAATGAGAATGGAAGAAAGGCAATTTTCTCATAAAGTGTCAGAAAGCCTGATAAAATTGTATTCTAGTGTTTTGTAGAAGGCAATTTTATAAGTAATGAACTTGGATTTTAGCTATGAAGATTTCTCAGCAAAGTGTTGAAAGTAAGGTCTGGTTCTTTATTGATTATTAAAAACAAACAAGATGATTTAGTAATAAATTGAAGAAGTAATTATTATTGTATAGATGTATTTATTTATGCATACAAGAACTGAGATACAGGCCAGAGGTGCAGGTAGATGAGAGGATTCACCAGAGACAGAGTGGGGAGCAGAACAGGCCAATTTACTGAAATACACTAAGGGGAGCAGTAGGCAGAATAGAAGTTTGCCACGCCATATGGTCACCTTCCTGGTCAGGGGTCAAAATTGTGCTGCAATGGCTGCAGATAGCTTCATAGTGCTATACTTTAACCTGTTGTGCCACCAAGGAGGGCCCTAAAGATGCAATTATTTAGCAAAAGAAACCCTAGAACTTGAAAATTTAGAAATTTTCAGTTTAGTCATATTGCAAAGAAACATGAAATTATCCTCTGGAGAGAAAACCAAGAGTGTGGCTTGATAGCCTTTATTAAATACACTAACTGTATGATATATGAATCCAGTCAATAGTTTCAGCAGAAACATTGCCCATAAGTAATAAAAGGTTGGAGCAGGAAGAAATACAAGCTTGCCAGACTTCCGAGAGTCTCCAGGCAAGACACAGCTGAATTGAGCCATGTGGCTGCTCACATAGAAGAATGATTCTGAAAAAGCTTAGTGATAAGTAGGGTTGCACTGCCGCCATGCAGCCAGACTTCCCAAGAGACCAAAGGACAGAGTATTGAGCACAAAATAACTATTCTCAAGTCTCAAAATATAAAGGTAAAATAAACTATGGTGGGGTAATTGGTGTTTTGTGGTGAACATGATGTGGTAACATAATTATGAAAATGTAAACCTGTATCCCTAAATCACAGAGTGTTTTAAGCCAAACTAAATAAAAAATAAATAGAAGCAAACATTTATCTACAGATTTTGCTGTGCTAGTTTCAGGCTTTCTTCTTTCTGATTTTTCAGTTTATATGGGGTGGCTAGTCAATATCCTTCCCACCATTGTATTTTGGAATTGGATAACTTGTTATATAGTTTCACAAGTTCACAGCTGGAGGGGAATTTTGTCTTAGGGTGAATTATATTTATGTCTTACTCATAGCTGATTTAAATGGTATTTCATAGAGTTATTGCTGCAGTAAGTTAAGACATTTGGGGCTATATTAGTGACTATATTTTGCAATTGAAAAATATATGAATTTGCCTAAGGGGCACAGAAGATATTGTATTATGGGATGGTTTGTGCCCTCCCCCCAATTAATAACTTGAAATCCTAACCAGGATTTCATCAGAATGTGATTATATTTGAAGATAGTATCTTTAAGGATGCAATTAAGTTAAAATGGGATCACAGGATAGGTTATAATCCCATCCCATCTAATACTCTCATCCCTTATCTCATAATAAGACAATCTGACCTGTCTTACTATGAGGAACTCCAAGCTTAAATAGCAGCTGCCATTGTTTGCCCCCCACAGTTTCTCACTCACATCTCTTCCAATTTGTCCCTAATATCTCCACTCCACATGTCTTCTTCCATGTCCCCCAAATCCCTGGTGCAAATCCAAAAGCTGAGAAGCAAGTTTTTGGGCCTTAGCAGCTCCACTTTGGGCCAACCCTGTTTTGCTTACTCATGAGGGTAACTTCGAGTAGTGTTTTATAGGGAAGCTATTAGCTTTTCTTCTCTTTCTATACCACTATTATATCAAAGCTCTTTCACACAGGAACCAAAAAAAAAAAAAAAAAAAAGAAGAAGATGAACTTACAATACAGTCAACACATAGAGAAAAGGTCATGTGAAGAGACAGACAACATCATGATTATCTACAAGCCAAAGAGAAAGGGCTCAGAAAATGTCAACCCTAAGGACACATTGATTTTAGACCGTTAGCTTCCAGAGCTGTGAGAAGATAAAGTCTTGTTGTTTAAGTTACTCTGTGATATTTCATTGTGGTAATCAAAGCTCTATGAGCAAGATCATGCATACTGAGTAATGAAGGAAATAAACAGCATGGGAGTTTAAGGAAGAGAAAATCATTGGGTGAAGTGGATAAGAAAGTCCTGCGAAGAAAATAAAGTGTCTTTGTTTCTAAGCAGAATAATGAATTTTTAAATGATAAGAATGAGCAAACATGCTGTAAGCAGAATATTCCAGAGAATCACAGTTAAAATTTACAAGATAGTTTTTCAAGGTAACTTTGAGAGTTTTCATAGTCCAATGTTTATATGAAAATTAGAACTACAAATACTATTGTGGATAGGAATGTTTTTTCCTAAAAGAGAAAATGCACAATTAGAAGAATATAACCTTCGGGTAAATTCTTCAATCAAGAATTTTCATTGTATATAATAATAATGAAGGAGCAGTAGAGAAAATTCTTCAGGAAATATTTATGGAATCAAAACAATGACATGAACAGTCAGAGAAGAAAGCACATGGCTGTAGTCACTGAACACTTACATCAAATGAGGGCTGTAAATGTGTGTTACATATATTCTTCAAAAATCCCTAAAAGAGGAGATGACTATGTAAGCTGTTGCTTCTACAATATTCCTAATGCTTTTGTGGAAGAATGGACACATACTAGGTTTATAATAAGTACATGATTTGCATTTGAACTTTATATCTTTTTGCAAAAACGACTTTCCTTATGGGACTACAGGAAGAAAGAGTTGGACCTACCCTTTCCACTGATGAATTTTTCCAGGAATTCCTCCCACGTGCCAGGGAGTGGGTTTAATTTTGCCATCTGGTGGAAATAATAGTAAGACACAGCTACATCCTTAGCATTCCTTGCCACATAAACGACCTGTTGAGACAAACATGAAACCATCACTTTGTTTCTGTTTAACACTTATAAACCCCTTGACTGGCCTTTTATTTACTCTTTGTTTTATGATCTGGGTATTTATATCTTTATCCTTACATGGATATTCACAAGTACATATTGTTTTAATGCAAAGATTTTCCATTTATTGTACTCCCTCCTTTCTCTTTAGCCTTTGAAAGAGTATCTCTTGAGACATGGAAAACTAAGAATTACAGCAATTATCAAGCTAATAAAAATGTTCTAGTGAATAATATAAATAAATTAATAAAAATCAACTTTGCCTCATGTAATCTTTTGTATTGGCTATCTTATTTTATTAACTATATAAAAACCAAATTTTTAAAAGTTGAAAAATGGTCTATTTTTCATTGAAAACAAACTATTTAATCAATAAAGATTAACATTCTTCATTATGTCCATGATCATGGCTACATAATAGTCATTGCTGTTTATGATGATTAATGTGGGACTAAATTTATGTTTATTTATAAAGTCTTTGAGTGTCTTTGAAGACAAAAATTTTGAAGATATTTCTCACAAAAATGACATTGCAGGCCCTCCCTGGTGGCGCAGGGAGTTAAAGCACAGCACTATGAAGCTAAAGCCACTTCAGCATGAGTTCAATCCCTGCCTGCCCTGGAGGTGATCCACATGGTTTGGCAAACATGATGTTTGTCCTAACCCACCTGCTGCTCCCCTCAGCAGTGTACTTCTCAGTCAGTCTATTCTGCTCCCCACTCTGTCTCTGGTAAAGCCTCTCACCTACCACACCTCTGGTCTCTACCCCAGTTCTGTATGCATAAATAAAACTTAAAAAAAAAAAAAGACATTGCTATGCTTTGTTGGTAATTAAACTTTCAGACAATTCCACTGAAATACACTAAATCTCCCCAAAAGCACTTTTAATAATGCTGAGGCCCTACTCACTCATACAGTAAATATATTTCAAATGAAAATTGCAATCAGGAAAAAAAAATCTCATTTCATGTAAACTTCTAATGCAAATGATGAGAAGAGGGAAATATCTTTTCTATTTCTATGTCACTGCCAGCAGTTCTTATAATTTAGGACAAGGAGATGAGGAAGATGGTAATGGTTGAAGATGACTTTTTCGAATGATTGAGAGTGATAAGATTTCAGATTCTGCTGCTGATGAATTAAAATGATTATCTTTTTAAAAAACCTAAAATATTTTATCTATAAAATTATATATAGTTCACAATTCATATTTGTACTGAACTCATGAAGAAGCAGCTCCCAGGATTATCTAAACATCTATTACTTCAAAGCAGACAATTTGTGAAAGAATTTAGACATTGTGTTTTATGAAATAGAAAATCTGATATTTTCTAAATGTTTGGGCATTGTGCACAATTCCTACTGAGGGCAGTGGAGTCATTGGTGTTATTTTCACATTTGGACATAGGGCCCACAATATTATTTCCTAAGTGATTTATCCAAGGTTCCAATATCTATTTCTGCTTAAATAGTGAAATAATTTATAACATAAACAAGAATTTAAAAAAATTTTACCTTACAATTATTCTTCCAAAATGAAGAAGGAAGAAGTTGAACAGGTAAGTGGGTTTTCACTAATCGAGGAGACTGCATGATTTCCAACTCCTTAACACCTACAAGCACAAAAGTAAAAACTTATAAATACAGAATCATAAATTATATTACAGTGTGATATATGACTTTCTAAACATGACCACAAATTGCTCTATGTTGATGTGACTTCATATACTTTTAAAATCTAGTATGAAATAAAAAATAACCAGTTCTGATAGTTTAAGTTTGTTTTGTTGCCTACAAATAATGTAGATTATTAGCTTCATAAGTGTATATATATAATCCTCAATGATAGAGAAATTTACTCCCACAGTGAAACTGAACAGTAATAGTATATACCATTTGAGACTCCTGGAATTATTAACTCCATGAAGGGCACTCGGTTGTATATTGCATCTCGTTTACATTTCTCTGTATCTCCATGGTTATAGATCAAATCCAGTATTTCACTGACCCAGGTTGTTCCTGGAGGGAAAAATAAATTGGATGAATCTCTAAATTTTTCTGTCAAAAGTGTTAATAGATGTAGAGAAGTTACAAAATGATTGCTTCATTTCCATTCTCTTTCATCTCCCTTTTCTTAAAGACATACTTCACTTCATCAAAGATATACATACTCGGTATGTGTGTGTATAAAATATGAAAAAAAGTATTATAAAGATTTGAAAAGGTTTTGTCACAACAAGCTAGCTTTTTATCTACAAAAGTCTGTCTTATACATTTGCTTACTTCTTAGTAGCAGTTCTTTGTTCTCATGAAATGTCTCCAATTTTAGCAACTAAAATCCTCAACTTCAGGGCTTTCTTCCCTGAAAGTATAATTCTTAAAAATGTCCTTTCCTCAATGATTTTAGGAAATATAAAGGGACACTCACTCTAGTTCTTTAGTAATTAAAACAGTTAGTTGATTATGGGCTCAAAAATTAATTGCATAAAAGGCTAGAAAGTCTCATCTGTCATATCTCGGTATACATTTATCACTGGGTTAGACAAGGGTTAAACAACAGACAATTTGGAGATATGATTATCAAATCATCTTAAAATCTTTCTGATATCAACTAATGAGGTCAGCAGTTGTTCAAATTTGTAACAAAATATTCTAGACAGAAAATATTTAAAACTTAATTTTTTAAAAAATAGTTTTAATAATGTATAAATATCTTTAAAATGTTAAAATTTGAGAAGTACTTAAATATGTACTCTCTAGGTATATAAATCTATTTATAGATTCTAATGTAACCTAACCATTTACATATGCAGTTTGAAAAATCTTCATTAGAATTTTAACAGCAAACAAAACAATAATTTTTCCCAAGATATAGCATCTATTTAACTGAAGTCTTTGAGAATTGATAAAGTAGGTAATTTTTATCTAATTTGAGAAAATATCTGTTCTAGTAACTGCTCCAATGTTCTCTTGACTAGTGATCTGAACATCAGTGGAATTAGTTATATTATGACTCAATAACCAATGAGTAGTTACAAATAAGTCAAAAGATAAAGGATAGAACTGGATTTTAGTGAAATTAATGTAGAGTTTAGATGATGCAAACCTGAAACATGAATAATGTGATAATGAAAGATTATTTCAGTTATAAAAGGAAAGTAAAAGAACTGTTACCTGATTTGGGGTAGGTGGCAATCAGAAGGTCATCTGGCCGGGCCTCAAAAGCCTCTACCTGGGACCACTCCTCAGCCATAAACCAGTAGAGGGGGATCCCTTGAACATCTACCAGCTCCTGCCTAATGAAATCCTCCATGTTTTCCATGTTGAGACTAAATTTTAAGCAAAATGGAGAATGTTAAAAAACTGCCATTTTAGTAGCATCAATCAAATTTAAAATTAAATGAATGATTTATTAAATCAGTAAATGGCTATGTCACTGTTGGAAACCATGATACTGGGGTGGGGGAGGGATCCTTAGTATCTTTCAGGAAGATACATTTCAAGAAGCACCAGAATAAAGCCAGCAACAACCTTTATTCTGAAGCAATAGGAAAAGCCCTGCAGAAGCAGCGAGTAGGCTCAGAAAGCAAGGTTGCTGCTCTAAGCAGACCAGTCGTAGGGCTTTTTAAGTTTTTCTTTCTAGGTGGGGAGGAGTCCCTCTTCATTATGAAGTCCCTGCTCTCATAGCTCCTCCAGATTCTGGGGCTAAATGGAACTGTCCCTCCCTTCCTCTTTTTGAGTGAGAGGAAGTTTAGTTCAAAGACTCTCCCCAGGTGTCCCAGACCTAGCTGACTCTGTGGTCCTTAAAACAAAGCCTTGGTCCCAGTTGGACTGTGGCTTTGCGGAAATGCAGCCGTGGTCCTCTCAGGGAGTATGTGAGAGCCCTTTTAGATTACTAATATTCCCCCTTCAAAAAATTGGGCCCACAATCTTTGGCGGGGGAGGGCAGGTGTTGGTTGGCTAGGTTTAATCTTTTGAAGTTACTTTTGGCCAGGGATGCGCAGTGCTTTTGCCTTATGGCTTGCGCTGAGATTCCTGGGTGTTCCCGAGGCTACTGACTTCAGTGCTTGGTGGTCAAGTCAGGACATGTCAAGGGTGAGGCAGTTTGAGGGTCTTGTTGCACAATTATCTGTAGGCATGTACTATGTATTCTGGAAGAACAACACTTAATTAGCAAATTTAAAAGGCATAGTCCCAAAACTAAACCCAAGATAGCCGTTTTGTAAGCCAGTTCTATTGGATTTGACATGCATTGAAGTTTTAGCCTTTTGGAGACAGAGGACTAAGTGATTTAAGAAGCAAGGGCCAAGTCCTCCCTGGCGGCCCAAGAAGTTAAGTCTCAGCAGTATGACACTATCAGCAGCGACTGTAGCCTGAGTTGGATTCAATCCAGGCCAGGAAGCCCACTATCTTATTTAAGACAATTAGAAAAGATTCTGTTAATGGTAGCCCAGGGCTAGGATTCAGTTTTATGCTTTTAGTTTCCTGCTGACTCTAAAGTTCAACTCGGGTTGTACTATAACTCTTTTGTAAACACAAGCTTCAGAGAAAAAAAAAAAAAGGTATCTAGCTCTTTTTCTGTTCTCTCTCATACCTGAGATCAACTTAATCAATTAGCTCCCTTTCCAATCCCCTCATTAAGTGTTGTGCACTTTTATTCTTGAGAAATTTGAAGGTAATGACCAATCTGGATAGGACTTAAAAAACTTACCTATGTAGAAATTGAGTTATTTGATTGTTTTCTATAACTAGATCTTTGTTCAGAGAAAATACAGCATGTAGGTTAAAAAAAAATCTACAAATATTTAAGCAGCATTAAAACTTGTTAACACAATGTCCATAAAAAGATATATTCTCTCCACCTTCACCCCAATTTTATCAAATGATTACAAAAAGGAGAAAGATTCCAGAGCACTTGAAATGAATGTGGTTGCAGGCTGAGGAAAGGTAGCTGTGCTCTCCTGGAGGGGCATGAGTCCCTTTCATATCCTTCTCCACCCAGGAGCACCAACTCACAGTACCACACATTACAAATCAGTGAAGGTACAAAAACAAGTGAGATTTGCACAGTTAATTTTGTATGTGTTGTTTATATGTTAAATAGCTTCAATACTTGCGGACTGCTTCACACAGCATTTTCTTAAGCAGAGATCTCCGGGATATGTTGTGAAGTTATTAGACTTTGGATTAGAAGGAAGTCTCTTAGCCACAGTATTGACAATCTACTACAGTGTAATTTGAAGAGCAAGTTTAAATAAATTGAGGCAATCAAAACTAAGAGAGCTTGTTAAGGAATTCTGGAAACTGGACATTTTAACAATGTCACATATCTTGATGATGTTGACATTACTTAAAGTCACTAATTTGTTGGAAGGCAGCTTTCCCAAAACTCTGCTTTTTCCAAAGACATTTTTCCCGGGTACAGTGCTTCACAGGATTAGACTATGTCCATCCTGACTCTCTGTTTAGGCCCCTTACTTGTGACCAGGCAGAGCAGTACTACTGGCTTTGACTAATAGAACAAACAGAAGCTCACGTCAGTGGACTGGCCTTGATGGTCAGCGCCAGAACTAGCCAGATTTGAGCATCACATTGTTGCTGAGAGCTGCAATGTTCCAGCAGCAGACCTAACTGGGGGCACTTCCAGCTGCCACCATTAGTTGGATCCTGGCCCACAGCTTGACAGTGTGCTACCAGCTCCAAGTCCTCAATGATGAGATGGTGCCAACTTGCTTGCTAGCTTTTTCTTTGGAACTTCTGGACACTGAGGATACTGTCTGAGGTGAGGTAGTATGCCACTTGTGGCCTTAGAAATTCTTTGTATCTCTAATTTGTTAAATAAACCTTATTGCTGTTCTCTGAGGCTGACTTGCTTTACAATTGTGGGCACAGGTGAAGACCCACAGAGAGTGACCTGTCCTCTACCTTGTCACTGTCCTTTGACCTTGCTGTGAAGCACTGCTATGGCCTGTTTCAGTAATACACAGTTTGCAAATTTATGCAGTAACCATAAACAATTTTATTCTTCCCAAACTTCTTTAATCCCCCTCCACCCAAATAAGAATTTTGGAGTGGTGGACATCACGAACAAATTTTAATTCACAGGTGGATTACTTTCTCAGTTTGTGCCATCACTTTATATTTCACACAGCTTACCAATTGTCCTCTTTTTTTTTTTTTCCTAAAAAAACAAAACAGTGTGATACTCAAACCCGGCTAGTTCTGGTGCTGGCCATCAAGGCTAGTCCACTGACGTGAGCTTCTGTTTGTTCTATTAATCAAAGCCAGTAGTACTGCTCTGCCTGGTCACAAGTAAGGGGCCTAAACAGAGAGTCAGGATGGACATAGTCTAATCCTGTGAAGACACTGTGCCCAGAAAAAATGTCTCTGGAAAAAAAGCAGAGTTTTGGAAAAGCTGCCTCCCAACAAATTAGTGACTTTAAATAATGTCAACATCATCAGTTTTGAGGCAGTTTTCCAATTTCCTTATTTTGTTTCTTTTCTTTATTAAGATTTGTTTATTTATGCATACAGAACTGGGGTACATGCCAGAGGTGCAGGGGCAGTGAGAGGATTCACCAGAGGCAGAGTGGGGAGCAGAACAAGCAGATAGATGAAGTACACTGCTGAGGGGAGCAGCGTGCAAGACAGGAGAGGTCTGCTGAGCCATGTGGATCATCTCTGGGGTAGGGGATCAAAGTCTCACTAGCAGAGAAGCAGCTGAGGCCTGCTTCACGGTGCTACACTGTAACACCCTACACCATCAGGGAGGGCCCCATCTTATTGTTTCTTTCCAGTTAATTCCAATTACTTTCTTCCCACAAGTAAACAGTTGGGCTGGCATAAAAAAAAGCTGAGGTATCTGTATTCCAAATCAAGATCTTTAGTTTTTTATTTTTCTCTAATTCATTAACAACTATCAAAATAAGAAGTGCTTGAAACTGTTATTGTGTAATCAGTACTTCTGAAATAAATATTTAAAAGCTCAATAAGATGTTGCCATGCTTTTCAAACTTGCTCATGTCCCTACCCTAATCTGCAATTCATTCTTTGATTTACAGACGTTTACTGAATCATGGACTGACTAACAAAAACCAGTTGATTATCTACATTATAATACTGAAAGATGTAAACCAAACAGATAAAATATACTCAAATTTATCAGGTGATTTTCAAGAAATCACATCTCAGTACATTATATGAAGTTATATATATCAATGTATATATGCACATATTAGACAACCTATTTAGGATATTTACTTTATTAGAGTATTCTAAATATATTTTTCTCATATTATATCAATTGTTACTAAGTCCCCATATGTGGTCATTTTTGTAAGAGATTAACAAATATCAATTCTTGAAAAATAAAAATGTTTATGTTTTAAATCTGAAGGCATATAAGTATCATAAAATGGAATCTTTGCTAAAGTTTCAACAGAGGAAAACTCCTAATCATTCCTCCAAATCTTGAACAAATTTTTCATCCTCTAAAGGTCCTTGGTAACCTAAAGTCCAAATGAATTATTCTTTCTTTTTCAAATCCATAGCTTGAAAATATTAATATTTCATATGATTTAGTGTGCTATTATTATCTCTTTTTTATATTTACAATGTCTGCTTCCCTGATTAGAATTGAGATACTTTGCCCTAGAATTTGAACATATATTTGACTTTGAAATTCCAAGTCTAAACTTTATTGAAGTTAATAATTAAATGAAATGAAACTTCTCTAATCTAGATGAAATAGTAAGGAACTGAATAATTTTACCTTACTGCTACTATAATTATTAGAACTTTGAGATATGCTGAGAAGTATCAGTAGGTCACAGACCCAGTTAACAAGCAATTTTCATTCTAATTCATTATTCAAATACACACAAAAATCCATGCATGTATTGGAGTATTTAATTCTGACTTAAAATATCCTCCAAGTAAAGTCCTTTTATCCCAATTTTACCAAGAAGAAAATTGACATAGTGTAAGCTTAAGTAACTTACCCAGCACTTGGGTTTGAACCCAGATAGTCTGAATATAGTACTAGCAAGCTTAATCACTACTTTGTACTTCCTTGTAAGTACAAGCATTGAAGAGACATCTCAATACAAGAAGACATAAGAGAAGCACCAAATTATACTTCTCAAGTAGTCAGCAGTCCTGTTACCCAGTTTGAATAACTTGATTTTGATCATGACGTTTGATTTATTTGATATGCAGAAGGATATTCTATGTCGAAAACATAAACAGTATTCCTTTTTGCTGAATATTATATCTAGTAAAGTACTTTATAAAAATAAAGAGATATAATCTGCTAAAGTGTATAGAAATC